TGAAAAAGAGAAACACACTTTCAGTGGACCTTCGCTGGTTAAAAGGGGGGTGTAAAAGGATCCTTACTGATCTATTCGACTAAAAACCGTCTTAAATCCCCACCATTTTTTAATGTGGTCTTTTTGGTGTTGCCGACTGAAAAGCTTATAACAGACAAACTCCATGACGTAAATGCATGAATAAGGCCTCATTTGAAAGGCAACATCATCCTCTAGTTTCTGGAAATCTGCCCAAGTAGTATGTTGTTAAAACACAAGCTGCACAACATCAGCTTAACCATAGAGGATTTTTTTTTTTTGCCAGGCATGTCAGAGGATGGGATGTGCTGTGTAGAGGAGACCGTGAACTCAAGAAAATTTAATCCAAATCTAGTCTGGTAGAATCACATGTTTGACACAGGCCTGCCTTCCATGTACTGGATCCTGAATGGATCAAAACTAAGTCCTTGTCCTTTCTCTCCACAGAACGGCCATCCTGAGACTCTACAATGTGGGCTGCAGATGGGAGATGCCCTCTACCTACTGGACCTGGAGAAAAATGAGTACGAAGCGAGAAATCTCCTCTTGGTTTCAGCATCTAAAATGTATTCTGTCCTTGAATTGTTGAAGGAAGCGCTCTGTAATGTCAGATTAGATGCACTCCCGCCATTGCCCTTGACCAAGGCACTAGCCTCAGATCAGGAGTTGGTCCCTGAGCTCTGTGCTGTGGCTGTGTACTCCCTCTAAGTAGCAGTGATGGGTCAAATTGTGAGGAAAAATATCCCATGGGGTTCATTGAGATATTTCATTGGTTCTCTGGTTCTACTAAGAAGATTCTTCTTTAGAAAGTCATCGTTTGCTAATTAGAAACATTTCTGACCCAATTCAGATGCACAATGAAACATTTAACCTTTAACCTCCTTTTAAAATGAGAAACATTTGAGAAATCACTGATCATAATTTCACAGAAATATGTTGTTAACCATAATATACATGGAGTTATCCTCATGAAACCATGCTACAGCTAGTAGATTTAGCCAGTCAACAATAGCATGGTCACCGTTCAATCTTCCAGACCTGACCGGAGTCTTTAAGATGGGACATCAAACTTCACGCATGGAAGCCCTGTAAACTCTAGTGGTTTTCATTGTATTTTCACTCAACTGAATAATAAAGTCACTGACAGGCTAAAGATTCTGTGCTACTAGTTATCAAGGGTCAAACTGAAGGGCAGAGGACCAGAGCGGTCTAACCCACAGAACATTGTTTTTGAGATAATAAATGTCAAAGTTTGTAAAATACAAAAAAATTTTAAATGTTACTCACTATGTTGTTCACGGGTATAATACATCATAACAACCAATTTTGCTTATGAATCTTATCATCTGTCACAATATGAGCCAAACTCTAACTTTCATTTGTTTTGGGTTAGACCACTCTGGTTCTCAGCCCTTCAATTAACCTCTGATCAAGACAGGGTGAGAGGTTCTGTTGAGAACATGTTTCTCTTTATCAAGGTTGCCCTGGAAAAACTGCCTGATAGAATAGTTGCAAGTATTAGAGTAAAGTAGATAAACTTAGATAAACTATGCCGTAGCCACTGGAGTGGTTTTGAGGTTATGGGCACGGCAGCAGAGTTGTTTCAGTTGCCCTCAATGGAAGAAGCAGTATTGAATGTGAACATATTGAAATAGCCTCAATGGAAGAAAAAATATGGAATGTGATCATATTGAAACAAGCATGTAATGCTCAGATCCCCTGCCATGGGGACGGCTGTTATCTGGCCTGGAAACAAAAGGTGATGGAGGGACCAACAGGCAGACAGGAGGACGGATGGAAATACTAAAAGGTGCATCTACACAATAAGATGTAGCCATATATTAAATGTTATAGGGAAATATTGAACAGTTTAGGGGTGTATTCACACATGTGGCTCGCTTGCTTTGTTCCGATTCAGGGGCAAAAATGATACTATTGTTGCATTTGTCCTTTGGCTTGTTTGTGTTCACACAGCAACAGTCTCCACCGGTCCAAAGTTGTAAACAAATGCCATGCGCGAACGAACTGTTCTCTCATTGGTCAGAAATCTTACCCGGAAAGGAAGATCAGTATCAGTCACGTGGGTGCCCCGCCCCTTCAGATAGACTTGCTGCGGGTCCTGAATGAATTGATTCCAATGGGGAGAAGTGAATGTAAACACAGATTATCACCGATTATTTTGCCCCATTGTCACAGAATCAAATATTGGACTTATTTTTCACAGGTCACTTATCTTCCAAACATTCTGGTGCTGCAACGGCATTTTTAAGACCAACAGATCAGGAGAAAATTAACGTTGTTCGAGACCAGTGTCTCTCGCAGCAGCGCTCACGTAACATCTGGCTATACAGAAATACAGTATGGACTGCGGGAAACCACGAATAAAAATTTAAACTGAAATAAGGCTTGTGTTTAAATGTTCAGTAATACTGTTGTGGTCATCGATGTTTAATCGTTTTTAAAGGGGAAAAGGAATATATTTGATCGCTATGATCTTTAGCTGGATTGATATCAAATATTAAACAAGCGGCAAAATAAGGCGCAAAAATTAAATGTGAAGCGTGTCTTGCATTGGCCATCCATGTTAAAAATGCCGAAACTTTGTGCAGCAATAGGTTGCAATAATAGACAAGCTATCCATCTTTTCTTTTCCGAAGTATGCAGACAGGTAAGGAATAGATTAGCAACTGTCATATTACAGACCAGCTTTTTAGGCTTAAACTAGCTGATGCAATGCCCTTCAAGCTATAGCTAATGCCAGTTACAGTTAAATACGTTACGTCATTTGAGTATTATTTAATTTAGCCTTTATTATACCCGGGAGTCCCACTGAAATAAAAAAAAAAATACAGACCTGGCCAAACATTATCCTGTTCAAAACCTAACAACCACTCCAAGAGTAAACACTAGCAAGCCAAAATCTAATTTTTAAGCTCATGTCAAATAAGATTTGCGAACGCAGTAGCTGGCCAGCGACCTCATATTCATAATGCTGAGTACAGTCGTTACCTGTGTTGTAAATGCCTGATATTGAAACGTAAAAGGAAATATACACGCAACATGCAGATGTAAGATAGATATTTATATATCTCAACGTTTAATTACTACCATTTTGCAACCACTTCTGAAAACAAGATCCGCGACCGCGCCCACTTAGGAGACAGAAAGTGTGACCAATTTCTTACAATGAGGGTCTATGGGGGATGAAGAGTCTCGCTAAACTGTCTTTGCAACAGCTATGAGTCAGTTGTGCCGTTTGCTGAGACAATTGTGTTCTCACTGCAAACGAACCGCTCCAGGGTTCGAATGGAAGCGAGCCGAGACCACCCTTTTTTGGCGATCTCGGTCCGCTTGTTTTGTTCCGCATCAGAGTGCGCTTGCTGTGCTCACACCAGCCCAAACGATCCGATCTCTGGGGGAAAATGCTCCCTGTGTCGGAACAGTTGCTCCAAACGAGCCAAGTGTGAATACACCCTAGGAGTTCTGGCTCAGAAAAGAACAGGTTGGCTGATATCTGCCCTCGAAACAAAACGGGGTGGAGGGATGGGCAGAAGAACGGACAGAGGTATAAAAAGGCAATTCTACACAATAAGATGTGTCCTATTAGTAAATTTTGTGGGGAAATATTGAATAGTTTAGGAGTTCTGGCCCGGAAAATAAGCGTGAGCGACGGACGGATGGACACGGGGAAGGGCGACAATCAGTCCTGCATCCCCATCCGGGGGATATCAAATGAATTCCCTGAGAAGCAGCGTAGTTGATCAAAGTGCGAATCATGTCAAATCACGGTTTAAGTTGGTTTCTGATCATTCTCTGTCGCTGTGTCCCTTGTAGAGTTCTGTTACCCAGCTCCCCCACCATGTTCTATTACCCCACAGACGGCACTGGGGTCACGGAGGACAAGAGTCCAGTGGTGAGTGCACGGTTTGAACGACTATGCCTTTCTGCAAAGATTTAAGTAACGCTAGACACAGATTTTGTCCAGAATTTTGACAAGCAGTGAGAGCAGGAGATCCCATACGTCCTCTCAAGAAATAAACTTCTTTTTCATCTAAGTTAGCTGCACAGCTCCTGTGTCTATCTGCAATGGCAGGCTCTATTTGAAGATTCTCTCCATCCTAATCCTCTAATCCTATCTCTCGTGGTTCAATCCGATCACTTATATTTCCAGTGACAAAAAAAAAAATGAAAGAAAAGATAGGCAAGACTGAGAGGTTTTAGAAAGATGATTTAGCAAAATGGAACATCCCTGCTTCCACAAACATTTCTGTGTGGCATCAGTCACAATTACAGGCATGGCAGATGCATTGCAGACGAGAAGTAGATTCAAAGGTTAATCATTTATGTGACAAATTATGCAAAAAAAAAAAAAAATCCTGTGAAAGATGGTCATGATGTTGCTTAACTGGGTGTTACCTTTGTGAAACGACTGCTCCACTTTTATCGTTGAACTTAACAAATTAGTACATCCTTAAATGATGCCAAGTCTTGATCAGTTTTGGGGTCTGGCACAAGTTAGAAAATGTATATTTACCTTTTTTTTTCGTGAAATGGGTTCACAAAGTTACCTTGAGGTCCAATAATTGGCCCTTGGGGTACATAAGTGACGTGTTCCTTGAAGGACAGAAGATGACTCCTATTGTCACCCTATTTCTGAGAGTGTGGGAGGAGCCCTCTTCATTTCATGCATATCTCTCTTATAAAGCGCCTGTCTCTCGCCCTGCAGACACACTGTTTCTACCATGGCTCAGTGCAGGGATTTTCTCAGTCCAGAGTCGCCCTCAGCACCTGCTATGGCCTCAGGTGAGTGATAGAACAGGCACAGGTAGACTTAAGCCTGGCCACGATTAATACCACTGCATCTCTTTCCAGACAGCATACGTTACCATCACTAAAGGTGAATCTGAATGATCTTTAAAGTCCCCAATTATGTCACCAGGTGACAATTGGCCATTACTTGCCAATTTGAAATCAGTTCAGTTGCCACTGTGGCGCAGTGGGTAGCACTACTGCCTCATAACAATAAGGTCATGGGTTCAAATCTGGCCTGGGGCTTTTCTGTGTAGACTTTGCATGTTCTCCCTATGTATGAGGGAGTTTTCTGGGTACTCTGGTTTCCCCCCACAGTCCAAGGACATGCAAATCAGGTTAACTGGAGACTCTAAATTGCTCCATTTATATGAATGAGTTGTACATTAACATTGGATGGCTGAAAGTATTGTTAAACAATAAAGAATCAAGCAATCGAAACTGTTCCTTCTTGACATCACATGGTGAAATGACCGCCCAGAGGCAAGAGGGACTGATCAACTTGAGTTAAGCAGTTATTCAGTTCCTTCATTATTCTGGATGTTCTCGCTCCTTGTAACATTGGGAGGGACAGATTTTGAAATGGCCTGTAAAAGCTAATGGTATGTGCACCTGGAGACATGATATGCAGCGTTGCCAACTTTCACGCATTCGCCGTGAGTTTAAATGACATTCACGTTCCCATGCTGTAGTCAGCAATTATTCAATCAGCTCGTTTGTAAGAGATTCTCGGGCAGAATTGAAGTCTTTGTGCAAGGAGGTTTCTCGGTTTCACATGCATTATGGTGGATTTCACCACTAGTAACATGGAAATCAATTATGACTCCAGACTTTTCATGCTTTTCTTTACTCAGGGGTTGGAAGCAATGGAATTGCATAAGAACGTTTCAAATGGTCTTATTTTATTTAAACAATTTGAACGATCGTGAAACACATGCATTGCGTTGATTGAATAATTGCTGACTACAGCACGGGAATGGGAACGTGAATATGCCACTAAATCTCACGCTGAAAGCGTGAGAATTGGCAGCCCTGGATATGTGGCCTTTTTCCTTTCCTCCTTACATTTCTTTGACTTTGCTAATGTAACATGAGTCAAGGGAAAGTTGCAGAGTGATTTTCATGTTACTTAGAGATGTGTTTGAGAAAAATCTGATGTTTTCCTTCAATACGTCATGAGATCGACAGCCACTTGATAATGACATGACTGATCCAACTGGAAAACTCTGACCTATGACGTTGTACCCAATTGCCATGGGAAACAACAAAAGAGCTAATTGCATAAATTTTTTTCACGAAATAGACAATATGATGGTCTTGTTGTGGCTACCAGCTAGACTATTTCTGAGTCATGTTCGTTATCGAGGAAGCATCCTCACTCTTTGGAGATTTAAGAGTCACCCTTACTTAGATAATCATAGCTTAGATATCAGCTGGTGAATTTAAGGCACTGAATTTGTGGCAAGTCACGCAGACTGTTAAACTTTACAGCACAAGGCGTTAAATTTTACCGCGGCCATTGACTTCACAGGGGAGTGATCGTGATCAATTCCACCCTGAGCTTTGAGCTGGAGCCAGAGGAAGAGGGGGGGAGGGCCCGGGAGGAAGATGCCAAAATGCAGAGTGAGGGGACGAAGGAAGAGGGGTGGCACCTGCTGTACCCCCCTCGACAGCTGTGGTCTGAGGATGGGAACTGCGGAGTGTCTCACCAACCGAGGCCTGTTCTGGACGCCCCACTGAAGATGCATAGGGTAAGGGGGTGTTAAGCACTGGACAAAATCAGATGCCCATGTCTCGAAACTGTTCTCTCTCACTCCCTCTCTATAATTGGGCCAGTGCGATTTGTATTGTGTATTCATCAGGCACATGGACGGCACGGTGGCGTAATGGTTAGCACGTTGCCTTGCAATAAGGAGATTTCTGCCTTTGAATCCTGGCCGGACAGGACCTCTCGGTGTGGAGTGTACATGCTCTCCCCGCGTACTACGCTGATTTCCCCACCGTTATAGCAGTAGGAACGCTTCTACCCGTGCTCCTGACCGAGGCTCTGGCTTTAGCACTTGAGTTGATCCCCTGGCGCTGCACTGTGGCTGCCCGCTGCTCCTAAGTAATTAGGATGGGTCGAATGGAGAGGACAAATTATCCCATGGGGTTCAATGAAGTATATCGGTGGCACTTTAGATGAAGTTTTGCTCATAAAGGCTTTATACAGCATGTATAATGCCTTCATAAATGAGACATAATGCCTTCATAAATCATACAGAAGCAAATGTCATGCTTTGTAAAGGGTGAAATAACACATCCTTATTCAACATGTGATGCCAAATGTGACAATGACAATGTCACTTAGCTGACAGTGTCACCCTTTATAGCATTTAGCCAGTAGCTAAGTGACATCGTCAGTTATATGACATCTGGCATCACATGCTGAATAAGGATGTGTTATTTCACCCTTTACAAAGCATGACATTTGCTTATGTATGATTTATGAAGGCATTATGTCTCATGTATGAAGGCATTATACATGCTGTATAAAGCCTTTAAGAGCAACGCTTCATCTAAAGTGTGACCAGTATATCTTTTCTTATCTGCACCCATACACACAATTCTTACTATTTCTTCTGTTCTCTCTTTGTCTCACAGCATAAGAGGGACATTCTCAATGAGACAAAGTACATAGAGTTGGTGCTGGTGGTGGACCATAGTGAGGTATGGTACTGAACACGAGAGACCGCAAGAGTGTCTTGCAGTCAGCATGTTCCTTGAATGCAATTAAATGTATTTTCATTCTGTGTTTGTGTATCTTGCTGTCCAAATTAGGCCTTTGAAATTAAGTTTTGGACTCTCGGTAAAGACGCTTGACATATGACCAAGTAAAAAAAAAAAAAAACATTTGTTTATCGTCCCCGCCCGTGTCTAAAATCGGCACCGTGCCAGTAATTTTTTTATTTTTTATTTTTGAATTTTGCGCCAGAAAACTAGCCGCGCATGCGCAGTTGACTAAATTCCAGCGTGTGTCGGATGAGCAGGCCGCGGCATTGTGTAGCAGCATTGTATGTGTCGAGTTTACCTTTCATATGCAAAAACACTGTATTTATTGTGCTGCATCATGATGTCATTCGTCCTCGTCCAGGTCGTTTGTGGGACAAAGACTTTGCGGCCATGGTTTGGCTGTTTCGTGCCAGAATCATGCAGATCTTACGTCTGGCTTTATTATACTCTGTGTTGAACTTTTTGGTTATTTCTTCAATAAAAGTTTTGTCATTTATTTCTCACTGCAGAGTTTGGGGACCTAACCTTAGTTTGGGCGTCATTTGAGTTTGAGCGTCGGTACCCTTAAACGGCCCAACTGTCATGTATAAATTGAAAGGCCTGGTGTTGTCCTTGGATACCTGGTTGACTGTTGCCTCATTTGCTGGGTAATCTGACCAGAGCTACGATGCTGCCACCTAAATTGGCGCTTGATCCTGTCAGATTACCCAGTATTGCTGAAATAAAAAATATTTTTAAAAAAGTGCCTCCCCTTGCCATTTTGGGCAACTTCCCGGATGATAAACAAAAGTTTTTTTTTTTACTTGGCCAAAGGCACACAAGTGCAGCAAGACACTGAAAGCTTGCAGGCTTTGCAGCCCTCCATGACTGAAACTAGGCACTCTAAATGTAGCCAAATGTTTCCTTGTTTGACTGACTTGTGGAATTTTCTAGAACAGTGGTTCCCAACCTTTTTAAAGAGGACCTTCTTGAGCATGCTGGCTTTTTGTTCTCCCCAGGTTTGCTACTTTTGCAGAACATGTTATTGTTTTCCAATTTTGCTGCTTTTCATATTTCAACGTGGGGATTTAATTTTCTCTCTTGACGACTATGGCCTTTCATGTCCCCGTACCATACATAGTGCATATTGCAGTGTTTTCACGAGCGAGAGTGTCGCCATGTTCACTAGTCTAAAGCATACAGTGCTCAGGGTTTTGGACAGATAGAAGAGCCATCTCTTAAGCTTAGTACTTAACTGTCCCACAACTGCCACTTAGAAAAACCTGGGGTGGTGGGACACAGCTGGAAACTATTGAAAAAAAAACAATCCTCGTTCAGTTTGTGGAGGTTTGAGACATGGCATTAGCACAATTAAAACAGGCTAAACAACTTCCACTGTTCCACATGGGCTTTTGCCGGATGTCAGGACTGCCGGGAGATTTCCGATAATAAAGTTCAGTTTGGAAACGGAAATCGAAGCAAAAGCCTCCATCCCTCGCCCTCATGTCTGCGTTTAGGAATCACAGGCTGGTGCAGTGGTAGTCAGTCCTGTTCCTGGAGATCTATTGAGTCAGGTGTGCCAAATTTGGGCTGAACTCAAAACCTGTGTGATGATGGATATCCAGGAGGAACAGGGTTGATTTCCTTTTAACTAAACGTGGCCAAATCGCAAATATTTTGACACAGCGCCCTCTGGTGCTCCATGGAATTATTGCGCCCATGAAGGGTGGGGCTGCGTGTCAGGGTGGCTGTAGTCCAACAGGTTTTGCAATGCTTTTTCAAACACCGACTCTCAGGCTATCAAGGCAAAACTAAACTGGTTCTTTTTTTTGTATTAGTTGAAACAGGTCTCTGATGTGAAAGCCTGAAGACACATCCACCGGTCTAGAACCGGTATGCTACTTCGCTGCAGGATATGAACTGAGAACATGCGGGCAACGCCCTAATGTACTCATGGGAAAAAATGGGATTGGGAGCAATGAGTAAAATAAACTACTGTCTTTGTTTTTTTTCTAAGTACATAAACTATGAGAAGAACAACAGGACCATAGTCTACCGCATGCTGGACGTAGCCAACCAAGTGGACTGGGTGAGAACTCAAATAATGTCTTCCTTTCTTCAACTGTGACTTCATGTGTGTGCACTAAAGGGAAGGACCTACATCCCTCAAACATCTGTATCTCTATCCACAAACGTGATTAATGTGTTTGTCTGGTAACATTAACCAGAACATTATTTATAGCCTGTCAGTTTCTACACAGCTGGATGTTTATTGAAGCAGCTGACGTACTACGCCATTGATCTTAAAGAGTGATCTATTTGTGGCTCATTGAATCTGCTTGCCCTATCCCACCCATCCCTACCCAGTCCCTCCCCTCTCAACTCAACCCCCACCTCCTCACTATACCCCTTCCCCTCTTCTCAATGCCCCACTTCCCCTCCATATATCCCTCCCCCTCTTCTGAGTCCCCTCCCCTCCTCCAGTATGCCCCCAT